CATGCATTTAAATATGTTATTAATAATTATGATTTTTTTTTTCGGTACAACGATCTATATTTATGAAGAATTTAATAGTTTGTGCAATGGTGCATTTATATTTTTCGCACTCTGACACCGCTCCGAGTTGTGACTTAAATGTTTCCGACGTCGCACAGCTCGAAGTTAACAATTCTTTCATTACCGCTAATAAATAACTTCGCGACGCGCGTGGCCATGCGAGAGATAGCCATTAGCTCGCCAAACTCATCGACAAATCTCCCTCCGTAAAAAATCCGACGCCGCGGCAATCATCAATAATCCGCGAGGCCTCTAATTAGACGTTCGGAAACGAAAAAGAAGGCACCGGCTGGAAAAAGTTTTATACCGCTCGTTCGAGAATCGCGCCGATTCCAGGCGCGGAGGGGCTGCCTCGCTAAGGGAATCGAAACGCAGCCTTAATTTTCAGGGCTGGCTCGAGCGTTTAATCGTTGTGATAAATTAATACTGGCAAACGCGCTCGCGCGTTCCTCCTCTTTGATTTGCTAGTTGAAGCCCTTGTGCTGCGCGCGCGCGCGCGTGCGTGCGTGCGTGCGTGCGTGCGTGCGTGCGTGCGTGCGTGCGTGCGTGCGTGCGTGCGTGCGTGCGTGCGTGCGTACGTGCGTGCGTACGTACGTACGTACGTACGCGCTGACTCGTTAGAAACGTGATTCTCGAACGACGTTGGGTTTCGCACGGTGAGTCAGTAGAGCTGACCGTTGCTCGGGTCGAGGCTCCCATAAACATGTCGCGGTGCAATGCAGCCGGACAGGAGACACCGCGACGCGTGATGCGGCGACCCACATGCCAAAAGCGGGAAGAGGAATGACACGGAACCGGCCAGCGGGCTGTCCTAACTGCGAAGACGCGTTTACGCCTCCGAACAATCCGCGACGCGAACAGCTGTTACCCCGAGCATGTGTACGAAAGCATCCGGTGAGCACAACGGTGACTATTCACAAAGTTCGTTGGCACTGGATTAGTCATGATGATTTATTTTTTTTTTTGTTTCAACACAATTCGATGGAAGACAAATATCGCGATAAATTAACACTGTAGTGTGAAATTAATTTTTTTTTTTTTTAATGTAATTTTGAAGTAACATTTTCGAAGCTTTGGCTTATTTTAAACTGAAATTTCTTATGAAATTTCTTACAAAAGAATTGCGTGCAGAAGGCATGTTGCGTGACTATACGCATTTATGCTGGCGTGTTTATTAAGGGTTAAGGACGATCGATCGCTCGATATTTATCGCATTATATCGACACGTTCGCCTCAATTACCTAATACTAACAGCGGCACAACCGCGGTACTATCGATAATTACATAATGTTGGCGCGAGCAATTAGGATACTAGGCGTGAGAGAGGGACTTACGAGACAGTAGGGACTTTCACTTTTTGCAGTGCGCGTGGGAGACAGGCGGCTTTATAAAACTTTAATTTAATTTGTGTATGCGAGGCCCGCATGCGGCTCGGTCCTACAGCCTGCAAACAGATTCTGAGCAATGTAACTGCTGCAGCGATCCGGATGCCAAATGCGTGAAGAAAAAATTATGCAACTAAACGATATAATTTATCCTAAACTGTAATATAACATAGGAATATATGTTTCTCACCAGCGTGTGACTATTTTTTATTAGACTGTATTTTTAATACAAAAAATAAATTAACAACTTTAAATCTTTTGCATGGAACGAATTGCACGAAATAGCTCACCATAATGATTTATAAGCAAACTTAATTTTTTTATTAATTAAATAATCAATAAAAAAAACGTATATAATTATTATCTAAATATTATTAGTTTGTTATTTTTTTATTTAATATGAAGATAAAAATAAAAAAGATTTATTAAACGTTTTCTTAAATCTTGAAAAATTTTTATTACTTTTATCAAAAATCTGAAAGTATTAATTATTGTCTCATTATTCTTTTGCAATCGTACTCGATATATCATAACAGAGCTTCGACACTATCAACTGTAAACTGACAATTCTAATACATCGGCGGGTCTGGCACGAGTTTACGCGTACGCACCACATGCACGTACGAACTTGTGCGTCGCGTGTGTTTGTGTCGGGCCACAAACGTACGTGCGTCTGTGGTGCACGATTGATCATAACTCAGACGAGCTCTCGCGATCGAAGCGCACTATGAATAGTAGCTAATTGACCCAGTTGAACCCGAGTCGGTCGGCGCAAGGCACGATATAAATACCGATACCGATGCCGCCCATCGAACACGTACGAGAATCACGCGACTCACGTGCACACACGCGACCACACGCGCGCGCACGCACACACACACACACACACACACACACACACACACACACACGCAATCGCAAGGATATTACCACGTGGTCATGTCCGGCCACAGAGGATCCCGTCCGACCGATCGCATCCTTCGTGGAATTCCAGCGACGCGACCGAATGTGGGTGTCGTGTCTGACGATCTGCGTGATAAATTAAGGATCGTCCGATCCGATCGATCACACCGCCATTCTTGGCCCGATGCACCGCCGGATAAATTTATCAAGTCGTCTGCGAGTGAATTTTTGTGTCTCGCGAGCGACAACAGCTCGCCATTGTAAAAACAATTTTTTTATTTTCAATCTCGCGAAAGAAAAATGTATATGAAAAATGGGAAAGCGAAAATGAAAAACAAAGTACAAAAAGTGTCTTCCAAAGGCCGACATGCGCGATTCAAGATCCAGTATGTGTCAATAGTAACATGTTTTTACAGCCGCAAAGATCGGTATTCGCTGATGGCCGTCATTGTGTCAACGAGTGAAAGTTTGCACTGTTAATTGAAATGTCAAATAAGTACAAACGACTACGTAGTCAGCAAATTTCCCAATGAAACATGATTAGTCTGTAATTAGTATATCCACGAAGCGAGCGCCGATCATTAACGTAAATCTATCGACAGCGTCGTAAAATCGTGAACGAATGATCTTGTTGCTTGGAATCGATTGATGTAAAT